ACTCATTTTTTGCCTTCTTCTTTTCGTCTGGTGAGTTGTTCAGACAAAATCAACCAACAAATGGTCAGAATTATAGATAATTGAGAAAACAGGAATTAAATCCCCCCCCCCCCCCAAAAAAAAAACAACAACAAAAAAAACAAACTAAATAAAAATGTTTGAGGTTTAGTCTTCCTACTGTTCTATGCATTTGTAATAGGTAAGGAAGAAAAGTTTAAGAAGTTCTTGGGAATATTGTCTCCAGATTTTTACAGACCCAAAATGGGACCTAAAATTCCCAAACTGTAAAACAATGCTTAACCTTTCACATGAGGCATACTGAGTGTCAGCTAAGCAATGGAAACTGAGGCTACAATTTGATATTCTGGTGTGACGAGTCTCGATTTGTGCAAAAACATTCAGATGTTAGGGTCAGTGTTTGCTGTAAACATGAAAATATAGAACAGTTCAGGCTGGTGATGGCGCGATGATGCTGGTGATATTTTTAGGCACACTTTGGGTCCCTTAGTACTAACTAGCATGCTAGTATTTAGGACTAGCATCATTTAAACACCAGAGCCTAACTGACCATTGTTATGAGCATTGTTATCACCTCCACTGACTAAGTGACTAAGTGATGATAGAAATATAACACAGAATTCAACAACAAGTATAGCTGTATGTGAATTTGCTGAAGCTAATCTTTGTAGGAGCAAAGATATATTTCATTCGATGTAACAAATATACATATTTTGTTTGATGTAGTGAATAAGCAGAAAAGTTTCAAATTAAAATGTGTTGATTCTGAATATTGAAGTGTCATCTGAGTTGCTGAGTTAGGCAACCGGATGTGTGAGCCATAGGGCATCTGCTCAAGAGAAGGACAGAGAGATGATAAAATCACGGAAAACTATATATAGTTGTGGTCGGATGTTTGTATCCACTCATCATTGGTCATTGGTCAAGGCCAAAATCACTCATTGGTGATTTTGGTCTTTTAATTATTTCATGCACTGTTCTTTTTCCAGCATAGAATAATTGCACAGCACACGTCTTTGATGACTTTGAAAACTAAAAGTTGTGTGCATAAATTTTAATTTATTTTTCTACATGTCTTTTGACCTAACAAGATTGAGGCCTGTCAACTTCTTGTTGGTGATGATGATTGACTACAAGTGCAGCATAAAAGCATTTGGACTGACCAATACTTTGAAAAAAAGTAAAGCCCAAGAAAATCAGTGAAGATCTAAGAAGACAAGTTGTAGATTTGCACAAGTTGATTGTTCATATAAGAGGGCAAAATAAAGAAAGCGATTCTTCTCGTGTAGATTTTTTCTTCTTTTATGAGCTACAGCTCTCACTGCTGTTACTGACAGTTTCTCAACTAGTGTGTGATCAACATCTACATTTCTGAGTAAATATTAGGAGGTATTTCAGGGTTTAAAGCATGTGATTTCTTGGCCAGCATCATCTGCCTGATTCCAAGTACAAATTTCGTAAGTCATGCCATAAACGGAGTTTGCAGATTTCTTGCTTCCTCATTTTCATGTTGCCGATGTGCATGTTACACAGATGTTACAACAGACAGTTTCTCATCATATTGTGTATTAGAAACATTCAGGTTACTATAGACAAGTTTATTGAGCTTTTACCCTCTTTGATAATTATTTGTTACACTTTTGTGGTATTTTGTTGTTATGAATTCTGAACAAGTTAGTACATTTCAAACAGGCATTTGGGATCAAACATTTTTTAGAGATTCAGAACAGTTCCCTTTTTGAGGATTGGTTTCTCTTTTTTTTTGTTTTTCTCAGTGTCTTAAGATCCTCTTTTCCAAAACTCAAACTCAAAAGAAACATAAAAAATAAAACAGAATACGATTTTTGATTTTTTGTAGAGCAAGTCCAAGTGGAACTGATATGGACGATCGATAGGCAGGCAGACTAACAATTCCAAGGAAATGATCTACTGGTGCACAATTCCCATCCCTAGACAGGACTATTTATACACATCCAGTACAATTGATCACCTGTTGCAAAAATGGTAGAGTTTATTCTTACATGGTTACACCGTGCAACAGATTGCAACTACCTGCGATTTTATTGGTTTTATTGACGTTTGATCTCACCTTGTAATTCATTGTGATACCCGTGCAACCCATGCAAGACATACACTAGTTATTTACCATATTGTCTGAGCCAAAAACTTAAAGAAGCAGCTTTGACAGCACGGCACTGCCTGTGAAATCAACTAAAGACACAAGCTAGCTCATTAGCAGCTAAAAATGGCATCTTGTTTGTTTAATTAAAGTGCCAACATGTCTTGTTTTAATCATCTTCAATAATTTTCCTTACAAATGTGACACTATTTAAGGGGAACTAACAGCAATATAAGATTTATTCTCCATTAAAGAAAACAGACATTCCTCCAGTCATAACAAGTATCATCGGTGCACCTACTAAACTGTAGTGCAGCTGCATAGTCATATTCTAAAGATGTCGGACTCGGCTGAAGCGAGTGGCTGTTTTATGAAATGGACATATTCCCGTCTCTTCACTTTTGTGAAACAAGCAGACAAGAACATTACAGTAATATGTAAAAACTATCGGCTGCTGTTAATAGCACAAGTAATCTACTGAAGCGCCTGACACGAGAGCATAGACGAACACTTCTGAGTGATCCTTGTTCATCATCCATGGATAACACCACGGCAACTCCTGCTAAGCAGGCAAAGCTTGATTTTACTTCAGCAGCACAGAAAGCGTCTGAAGGCGAGCTTAAAAAATGATTGCAGGCTACATTGTGGAAGAGCTGCTATCACTGCGTCTTTTAAAAAAAAAAATAATTTTTTTTTTGTTTGTCCACTCAAGGTTTATAGGGATTTAAAAAAGTATTTAGTTAAATTACTTATTGAGTAATTAAGTTACTTTTCAGACACAGTAATTAGATAATATTGATTAAGTAATTAGTAATTAATTACTTTTTAAAAGTAACTTACTCAACACTGGTTACTTCCCACCTCTTGTGTCAAGACTGATAGAATAAGTCTTGTTGCTGCTCACTGGTTAAGCAGTGTTTCCATTTCACAGCACTGAAGCAGAGACCCAGTGAACTCTTGACCCTTCATCGTAGCAGTTACTGGAAAGTCATTAGAGGAACTGTGTGGAATTTCCTTCAGGCTCAGCCCTCTGCAGTTCACGAGCAACCGAAAAACATCTGACAATCCACCACTCACTACAATACTTGCCTTACTTGTGCTTTATTAACATAATGATAAAATAATATCAGTAGATGGGAATACAAACTTTAAAAAAAATCTAATTATACTCAGCTTGAAGCTGAAGAAAAGAAGGAAACTAAAAAGTATTTCTATTTACCGTTGTCCACATTGCAGAGGGTGACTTTTCCTCTAAACAGGAGAATGTGTCAGTCAGTCAGATGAGCAGTCCTTACCTTTAAATCTACCCTCTCTTCTTCCTCTCTCTGTTTGTGAGCTGATAGTAACACTGCATTTAAAATGACCTGACACTTAAAAAACGTCACTCCCTTTATGCTCGCTCCTCTTCAGTAGCACAAGCTAGATGCTGAAGTACCACAACTTACAGACACCTGCAGTTGTTCCGGTGTTGTGCAAAAACAAAACAAACACAGTCCCACTTTTAACCCCAGACTTTGGCACAGTCATCTCTTTTTACGTGACATCCTCTGGCGGTTAATAAACAGCCTGCCATATGTTTCTGTTTAGGCTGAAATTAGTTTCATGTTTGGAGCCTTACAATGACAGAACTGCATTAAGCAAACGTAACAAGCCTTTTTACAAAATGTAAGGAGTACAAAGTACAGATATTTGTAGTACAAAGTCAGAAAAAAAAAGCAACCCAAAAACATCTGCCAGTACAATACAAATTAAGAGTGTGTGTGCGTATCTCGGCACCTCCCCTTCCTGTTATTGGTCTGTGCTTAAATGCTGGTGTTTCCAAACTTTTTCTCTTGTTTTGAAAGCTCAGAGAACCAGAGAAGACAAAAGAAGGTAAGAAAAACATTTTACACTGATGAACAGCTTAAGAGAATCAGAAATCTTTGTAAAATCATGAATGTAATATGTGGTAACATGTTTCTGAGGAAGTCAGAGATAATAAATCTGCATAAAAACGGTGTCAGCTCTTTTGTCTGGGCCGTACATAAATCATTTGTACAGCTGGCCAAAGATATTTGTTGTAATCCTGTTATACTTATAGCATGTATCAAAATCAGTCTTTTACCTTTTTCATAATCTAGCATTAAATTTCTCTTTTCACAAGATAACCACTACAGCATTTCAATCTGTGTCTGTGTTTCCTACAGGCATGGCCGTCCACCAGCAGCCCACCCAGGTGGTGACAGTCATCAGGACCATTGAAAACTCTGGCCAATGGAGCACCGACCTCTGTGATTGCTGCTCTGATATGGAGACCTGTAAGTAAACCCAGGAAACCCTACAAACAGCAGTGATTTCTGCATGAGCGATCTCCTCAGACTTTGTTTGCAATAAGCTAACCGAGTGTTTGAAGTCAGTAAAAAATCAAGAATGAATGAACTATCTGAGACTACATGATAGCAATGATCATTTAGTAGCATTATGGAGTTTTTCATTATTTTACATTTTTCACCAGAAAACTGACTTTTCGTAATTGGAGTGGAAATGTTTCAAATGTTCAACTTAAACTTAATGACTCCTTTTATGATAGCATAGAAAATCAGACTTAGAGTGTCCCAAATATATTTTTTTACTATCAATAAATAATAACAACAACAACAACAACAATAATAATGATAATAATAATAATAATAATAATAACAATAAAATAGAAGTCCAGTCTCTCTGTGGTTGGATTCAGGGAAAGTTGATATAGCAAAAATTCAAAGTTTTCTTGCTCCCCTGGAACATCCAGGTTGGTTGGTTTGTTGTAGTTAATAAAAAAATAGTAAATAATATATATACATAAATATTTATTTATATATGTATATATTTCTCCCCAAAGGTTGCTGTGGCCTTTGCTGTTTCCCCTGCATGCAGTGTGATGCAGCCAATAAACATGGATGGTGCTGTGCAGTGCCACTCCTGGACGTTTGTGGTGTGGTGTCCTGCTTACTCCGTCAGTCTATCAGAGAGCGCCACAACATCTATGTAAGGCTGGGTTAGAGATGGAGGATATTGTTACAAACTACATTTAAAAGATAGATGCGGTCACTAGAGGAAGTGCACTTTTATAACTTCTGCACTGGCTTCATTTTTAAGCCCTGGAGGTTTCTGCTTGTAAAATGAACTAACATAACATCTAAATGTAAATTTTATGAGATTCAAAAAATGCACACAAATTGTGCTTTGTGCAGATCCTTCTCACTCACCCTCACCTCTCATGGTCAAACTGAGATAAAGTAACCACATCATGCAGTGCCATCATAAAAGTGACCTGGATAAAACTTGTGGTATTTTGCAATCCGTAGAGTTTATAATGGAGAAGCTTGAGTTGAGAAAGAGGAAGTGTAAAGTTCTTCAAATCTGAACTCTCTTGCCCTCACTGTGGGGGAAAAAGCTGCGGCTTCTTGTTTTGACAAACTCTCAGATATTTGGTTACCCAGCTCTACACAGGGACACAGCTGCCGGATGAGGGGATGACAACACCCCACTAAACTTTTATGTCTGAGGGGTAACAACAGTAACTCCTGCTGCTTCATCCTCTGTCTATCTGCTTCTTCTTCTCCATCCTGCAGGGCTCGTTCACTGATGACTGCTGTAAGGTGTGCTTTTGTTACCCGTGTGTTTGGTGCCAGATGCATCGTGAGCTGAAGCTCAGGCAATACCATTAGCCCGCCACCTCGACTGTGATCAGCACGCAAGTCGTCTGTGGATATGATGCAAACGTTTTGGCTGTGTGATGAGGGCTTATGTCACTGCTGAACCAAAGTGCTTTAAATCTGTTGTCATATAATATGTTGAACGCCTATGTGACTTTTTCAGGCCAATAAAATCCTGTAATTCTATGCAACATCATGTGTGAGATTAATTGTCCTCTTCTGCAGAGTTGAGTTTAACCAGTGTTCAGATAAAGACTTGTCATATTCATTAATTGTTAACTTTGATAGGATACAGAGAAGGACATTGTAAGGTCACACTGTCCATTCATATAACTTTTCACAGTATTATAATATTTGTAAATGAAATACAGTGGCTTGCAAAAGTATTCGGCCCCCTTGAACTTTCCACATTTTGTCACATTACAGCCACAAACATGAATCAATTTTATTGGAATTCCACGTGATAGACCAATACAAAGTGGTGCACACGTGAAAAGTGGAACGAAAATCATACATGATTCCAAACATTTTTTACAAATAAATAACTGAAAAGTGGGGTGTGAGTAATTATTCAGCCCCCTGAGTCAATACTTTGTAGAACCACCTTTTGCTGCAATTACAGCTGCCAGTCTTTTAGGGTATGTCTCTACCAGCTTTCCACATCTAGAGACTGAAATCCTTTCCCATTCTTCTTTGCAAAACAGCTCCGGCTCAGTCAGATTAGATGGACAGCGTTTGTGAACAGCAGTTGTCAGATCTTGCCACAGATTCTCGATTGGATTTAGATCTAGACTTTGACTCGGCCATTCTAACACATAGATATGTGTTAGCCACCTGGCCTGGAGCCCAGTTAGCCACCCGGCCCGGAGCCCAGTTAGCCACCTGGCCTGTAGTTCAGTCGCCAACTCCACTACCATTTTCACCTCAACTTCAGTCGCCCCCTGTTCAGTTTTCTGTGTCGTCGCTAGCCCAGTCCCCTGTTCAGTTGCCGCTAGCTCAGTCTTCACCTCCACCACAATCAGCCCTGCTACCTTTAGCTCAGTCTTCAGCCCCGTCAGCCACTCAGCCACTATCACAATCAGAATCACTACAACCTTTGTTACAGTCCATAACTCAGTCAGTACCTGAGTTAGTAGCGCAGTCATTAGCTTTGTCACCAGTTCAGACTCCAGTGTTGTCACCCATCCAGTCAGTCACTCATCTACACCTTTAGCCAGGGACCTCAACGCCTTCTGGCCATGCATCAGCTCCTGCTGGAAGCTCGAGTGAGCCAATCCAGCATTTCGTGGCTCCCACGCCGCTGTCTGTCTCAGCTGGCAGTTCAGGAGAACTGATTCAGCAGTCTGCCTCTGCGTCCAGTCGTCTTGTGTTTTAGTTGGGGGTTCAGGAGAACCCGGCCAGTATCAAGCCACGTCAGCTGGGGGTTCTGGAGAACCCGGGGCCATCTGCTGCACTGGTTGGGGTGAGGGGAGGAACACAGGAAAAAAGACATGCTGTGGAAGAGAGCCAGAGATTAAAAATAAGTAATGATTCAATTCATAGAGGTCTATTAAGGATATATAAAGTTGGGTTTCATCGGCTTTTGGTCTATATGAGTAACTTATCATGACCAAACATTTGATGATTGTCTTTGCATCATTCAAGCAAAACTTAAATTTTATTAAGGGTCACACACATCAACCATAACATGCCAGCTGATGTGAACCTGATCAGATGTTGTGGTTTTGAAAACACAGAAGCTCTTTTTGCTGTTACATGATGTTACTTATAAGTAACAGATTACACCAGTAAGTAGCAGACAGGTCTGGCCCGAATCTGGTGTCAAGCCGGCACTGCTGGCTGACTTGTGTCATGGTAAGTGGTATGTCATCCAGATACGGGCCAGGCCCGGCGTAGATGGCACTGTTTATGCGGTGGCATGCCACATCTGGCCCAATTGTGGTTTGGTTTATGTGGCCCAGGCTCATAGAAAACAGGTCTGAGTAACTGGTGTCATGGCAGGGTGTATGTCAACCAGATGTGGGCCAGTTCTGGCAATGATGCTCCTATTTATGTTCCTATTTTGCTACTTTAGTTTGAAGACCCAAATGCCATGTTGCAATCCAATACTGCTATGGTAGCCAATGCTTCAAATGCAGGTTTGTGAGTGTACACTTTATCCAAAACCTAGTGAGGGCTTACTCATGTGTACCACTGGTTGGCTGTAGCTCAGGAGGTAGAGCAGGTCACCTCCTGACTGGAAGATTTGTGGTTCGATCCCTGGCTTCTCTACTCTGCATGTCAAAAGTGTCAATGTAGTTAAGAAGTGTGCAATTTAGAGAAAGTGTGTGGCTTGTTGTATAGATCACTTTGAGTAATCTGGGAGAGTAGAAAAGCACTATATAAGAATCAGTCCATTCATTTTCTGAACAGAGTTTTGTCGTGGTACTTTTGCACTATTATGTTCTGGCACATGTTGTTATTACATGGCTTGATTAAGGTACACATTAGGCTGACATCTTGGGCCAGAGCTGAAACTGTTCTGGGCCAGCACAGGGCCAGCAGTGTGTCTGCAACTGGCCTTGTGCTGGCCCATGTGTGGGCCACCTCTGGCAAACCAGATCTGGGCCACCAAAGGGCCGTCATTCTTTGCGGCATGTGGGCCATGTGTAAGCACATTGTGTGGACTAGATCCAGGCCATACCAATTTGGCTATGTGGGATGTAACAGCATTTTTGTGACCTACAACACTATTTCCACATGGATAAGTAAATATTTATCTATGTACATGTGCATTATTATCCAGTTAATCTCCTCTAGCAGCTCATTTAGTCATGGCTTCCAAGCATTCTTTTGTCTGTATGTCAGTAAATGTAGTGAAAGACTGACATATTGGGGCCAAATGTTTATGAATGTAACCAGTTTAGTTTGTTTGAGTGTGTGTGTTTGGAATGATCGCAGAAGTATTAACAGACTGGCACAAGGGGGTTTAAGATTTCACTCCTACCTCTATGTTCGCAAAATAAAAAAGTAGCCCAGCTACATCATGGCAGAATAGTAATATATTAAAAAACAGCATTTTCTATAGACTTTGTCTTCTTGACCATTTGTCTGTGAGGGTCTGGGCAGGCTGGGGCTGGTTCTGTTTTTAGTTTATGCTTGGTATGCTGTGGGCGAAGCTGCAGGGGCTGAGGTTTGTTCCACTCAGCTGTGTTTGAGCTCTGTCATTGGGGCGGCGTATTAAGAAGAAGCCAGAGTGGGAGTTATTATTGCAGCATTTGTGGTAACATTTAAACATTTAAGGCTCTCTGATGTTTGGCCCTGCTGCTGTAACTGCTGTAACAAGGTTACAACTGTAACAAGTTGTAACCTTGTTTGCTGTGATCTTTCACTCATCTGGCCGGATCACGCCACCATATTTGGATTCTCAGAGAAACTTAACCCTGCAAATATTAAGCTTCCTGGATTAAACTACAGTGTGACAAGTAAGCAGTATTCATTTGTTCCCATTTATTAATTTAGTTACAGCCAGATTTAGAGTTATTTATCTCTAACTTCTCTTTTCTCCCTCTTTCTTTTTTTTAAACCTGTCGTGTCAGGCACTTTTAGTAAAAACATGGTCTGAATGCTTTGTTGAGCCAAACACATTTGCTTTGCCAAGAGGAGCGCTGTAGACTCTGTATAGGCTCCTATTGGTACTCATTTCAGTTTATTTTATTATTCACATTATTATCAGACTGGTTATTATGCCAGGGCTGATAGGGGGTGAGGGCCAGGTTGGCAAAAGACAGAAGAAGAGATGATAATAAAGACAAGAAGGAGGAGGGATCGAAAAAGAAACGAAACAGAAAGAGAGAGAGAAAGAGAAAGAGGGGAGGGAATGGATGCCCATAGTCAAAAGGCAAGAGCCCCAGACAACCAGACGCAATGGGCAGTCCACCCTGGCAGAGGACAGTGGCCATGGCACGAGCCGAGGAAAAGTCAGATGGGGTGGCTGTGCGCTAAAGAGGTACAAAACATCCCAACTGCATCCCCTGAGGGCACAGGCCAGAAATCATGCCACAACACCTTGTCAGGTGCTCTGGAGCTACACGTCCAGTATTGGTCGTTGTAACAACGAGTGGGGAGCAGCAGGGAGGGGAACTCACCCTCCATAACAATGTCCCACAGGGAGAACCCCAGATCCAGGCATAGCAACACACACACACAACACACACACATCTGTGTAGTTTCTCCGCCTGTCAGGGTTCCTGGGTCGTTGACCCAGCATTTTCAGTTCATGTTCACTGTTTATTTTCCACATTTTTCATTTCCTGTTTCATTATGTTCAGCTGTGTACTCACCGGTCTCTCATTATCATCCTCATCAGTCCCTGTATTAAAACCCTCAGTTTCTCTCTGTTCTGGGTTGTGTCATTGTCGATGTGATGTTGTCGTTTCCGTGTGTGCTTTCAGTTCAGCCAGTCAGCGTTCGTTCACGTTCTGTTGATCTATTTTGTATAATAAACGCCATTCTCATCTTCAATCAAGCCACGAGTCCTTGTCCTCTCTTCCTCTCATCCACACACAAACCCCTGACACCGTCATCTAGGTCATGGTAATCTAACGAGGTTGGAATGAAAGCGACTGGACTTCTTTAAGTTTCTTAAAGATTTAACATCTTATCCATAAAACTTCTTCAGTTCTATGATCAAATAGTGGTGAGTCCCAGGTATTTAAATCCTAGCAGGAGTGTCCCTTAAGAGGGTCGATCACGTGCCTCATCACATGTGCCAAGGTGTGACAAAAGGCGTTGACTGAGTCTCATCTCTTCCATGTTGTGCCATGCGTTTACGAAGTGGCTCTTTGGTTTCTCCAATGTAGAAGTCTGAGCTCTCCTCGCTGCATTGCAGAGCAAATACCACATTGTTTAGTTGGTGTTTGGGAGTTTTGTCCTTGGGATGAACCAGTTTTTGTCTGAGTGTGTTTCTGGGTTTGAAGTTTGCTGGGATGCTGTGTTTGGAGAAGATTCTTTGATAAGCTTGCTACAGAAGGAATCACAATGTTGCTGACATGCCATGTTTGTATGAAAACTAGAGCACTATTAACACTGAGATGTGGCAGGAGCACATGACTGCTGCTCAGTAGTGCTCATCCACACCTTCCCCATCTCCCTCTTTAAGATGAGCACACGAAATCTGCACTCATCACCTCATTTAAGTTGCTATTTTCACTGTAAATAAAATCCTTTCACTGTTGTATGAGTCTGCTCTTTGGGTCCTGCTTTTGGCTCATCCTCATATTGTCTCCATTGTTCAAATCCTTATTTTATGTTTAGGTAATTAATAGTTCATTGGTTGTGGGGGGGCTAGAGCCTATTCCAGCTACTGCAGGGCAGGCTACACCCACCAGTCTAACAAAAGGACTAACTTTATTGATATTTACATAAAACAAAGAAATTAAAAACTAATTTATAAATGAATTTATTAAGGCACACTTTATTGCACACTTAATTATTACATTTACATTTTGATGTCTGCGACTCTCCTGGTCCTCCTGTGTGTGTGTGTGTGTGTGTGTGTGTGTGTGTGTGTGTGTGTGTGTGTGTGTGTGTGTGTGTGTGTGTGTGTGTGTGTGTGTGTGTTCAGGATCTCTGTTGCAATGTTACTGTTTTGGTTGTGCTGCATGAAAGACGTTGAGTGTGTATTAGGGAAGGTTAGTTACCGGAGCTGGAGAGTGAGTTATTCAGGCGAACTCTCAACAGCGTGTGTGTGCACGGAGCCCTTAACAGACTTGACCTCCACTTTCACTTCCTCTTTCTGATTTGTGGAAAGATGCTGAGTTTCCCAAACGTCTCATTCTGTTTTTTCTCAGAGAAAGAGAGAAGAAGAAGAAGGTAAGACATTCTTTCTTAAACTGATGAAGTGAATCATTGTGAACTCATGAATGTAATATTTGATGTAATTTTTCTCAGGAAGACATAGTTGCAATACATCAATGTAAATATAATGTAATTTGCATGGTGAACTCTTTCCTCTGTACTGTACACAAATCAGTGTTACAGCTGGTCCAAGGTATTTATAGATTTCCTTTGTCATATTTTCATATTCTAGCACTAAATGTCTTCATACACAAGAGCTATAACCACAAAAACATTTCAGTCTGCGTCTTCATTTCTGTCTTGTTTCCTACAGTCATGGCTACCATCCACCAGCAGACCACCGAGGTGGTGACAGTCACCAGGGCTTTTCAAAACTCTAGCCAATGGAGCACCGACCTCTGTGACTGCTGCTCTGATATGGACACCTGTAAGTGAACCCAGCAAACTCTACAAACAGCAGGGATTTCAACATGAGCGATTTCCTCAGCTTTGTTTCAGACTTTGTTTGCAGTAAGGTAGCAGAGAGTCTGATGTCAGTAAAAAATCAAGAAGATAAAATATCTGAGACTGTCTCATAACAATAACCATTTAGTAGCATTATGGAGTCAGAGTGCTCTAAGCGAACTGGGAAACTAGTCTCTGAACACTTTAATGTTTAGTTTAACCTTCTGAAATTTAATGAACGCCATAACATGACTGACCTAACATGTAATGACATTATCAACAGTGTGGAGGCATAAATGCTGTGGTGAAGGTGTTTCTGCAGGTAGAAGCAAATATCTTTTCATTGGTTGAGTAAGAAAGGCTGCGAGGATGAGGAGCCAAACACTGGACCTACAGGCAGGTTATTAAAAGGACTATTTTAATTTTAGCTGACTGGAAACTGGAACAAACTCATGCCATCCACCAAAAAAAGTTAAAAAAAAATGATAGCTGAAAACTTCAAATGAACCACTCAATGAGGTGACCAAACAGAACACATGCAGATCATGTGATGTGAAGAGGAAGCACGTGCACAGGGAACACACAAATTGAAAGCAAGAATGAGAAGTGTTTAAATACCCAGAGAACTAATTGAAACCTCACATGAAGGCAACATTCTCAGGGTTTGGCATTTCTTCTCTTTCTTCCTGTCTTTTGGTTTCTACCAAAGCTACCAAAAAACATGACAAGGGTGAACTAAAGCAGCAAAGTTGTCATGATCCTGGGTCGGTGACTCAGTGTTTTGTGTTTTGAATTATTTATAGTCTTTGCTTCATTATTGCCATGACAAAAGTATGTGTTTTAGTAAACACTGCTATTTGACACATTAAATATAATTTCATACAATTTCATAATTTATTTAGAGCAGCTCACCTGTAATGAAAGTGGTAGTTTTGTTGTGCATGTATGCCTGACATCATTGGCCTGCTCCCAGATCTGGACCAGGGCATCTCTGAGCTCCTGGATAGTCTGAGGTGCAACCTGGCACTGTCAGATGGACCGAAACATAATGTCCCAAAGGTACTTCACAGGATTAGGTCAGGTATGAACTTCAACATCCTGCATACTTTCGGTACGAGGCCAAGCATTGTCGTGGACCAAATGCACCAGCGTAAGGTCTAACAGTGAGTCCATGGTTTCATCCTTATGACAGTCAGGGTGTCGGGTCTGTGTGTCCCTCCATGGATATCCCTCCCCAGGCCATCACTGACCCACCAGCAAACCACTCATGCTGAAAGATGTTACACCAGCATAACGTTCTCCATGGCTTCACCAGATCCTTTCACATCTGTCACATAAGCTCACAGTGAACTTGCTCTCAGGGCACCCTCATGAAGTCTGTTTCTGGTTGTTCAGTCAGAGACTTTTACACTAGCTGGTGGTCATTTATAGCTTTGGCAATGCTCATCCTGTTCCTCCTTGCATAAAGGAACAGATACGTGTCCTTCTGATGGATAAGCGGCCTTCTGTGGGGGTTGTCTCATTGTTGTTTCTCTTGTGCAGCTATTCTTAATTTCGTTAACATCAAAGTACCTGAAACTGATAACCAACCGTCTCTGCTGCTTAACTGACCACATCAATATCCAGGCGATTTAACTGAGTGGATGTGATAATCTGACTGAAAAGTGCTCCTTACATTTTTTGTTGTGCAGTTTAAATCTGTATATTTTTTTATCTGAAGGTTGCTGCGGCTTTTGGTGCTTCCCCTGCATGCAGTGCATGACAGTTAGTAAACATGGATGGTGCTGCTGCGCATCACTCCTGGATATTTGCGGCGTGGTGTCCTGCTTACTCCGCCAGTCCATCAGAGAGCAACACAACATCGAAGTAAGGCTGGGTTAGAGATGGAGGGGCTATGTTACAGACAAGATTTAAAAGATGGAGGTGGCCACTAGAGGAAGTGAAGTTTTGAGTCTTCCACATTGGCTTCACTTTTAAACCTTGGAGGTTGCTGCTTGATTTTCTTTCTAGTCACGTTGGTTTGGGTCCAGAATAATGAAAAATCTGTGTGTCTTAATTGACTGGATGCCAGCGCTGTTGCTTATTTTGTTCTTCTCCACCCTGCAGGGTTCTGGCTGTGAGGACTGGTGCACAGTACTTTTCTGTTACCCCTGTGCCTGGTGCCAGATGCATCGTGAGCAGAAGATCAGGGAGAACCAGCCCGCCAGCGCAACTGTGATCACCACACAGGTCATTCGTGGATATGGTACAACCAGTTTGGCTGTTGGCTAAGGGCTTATGTCACCGCTGAAGCCATATTTTTTTTACTTTTGCTGACTTATTAATGTGCTGAATGGTATATGAGGAAAGGTGTCTGGCCATAAAAATACTTTTTTACACAATATTGTGGCTGTTATTGTAATAGTTTTCTTCTACAGAGCTGAGTTTAACCAGTGTTCAAATAAAAACTATTCAAATTCACTATTGTGATATGACAGTGATAAGGACATCGTAAGTAAGACCTTCCATACTTCTCTTTATATACTCATAGTAAATGTACTGTACAGTGGGTGATGGTCATTATCCATTGCTTGTTTTGATGCACTTCCCAATCACACAACACTTTAGAGCAGCGGTCCCCAGCCTTTTTTGCGCCACGGACCGGTTTATGCCCGACAATATTTTCACGGACCGGCCTTTAAGGTGTCGTGGATAAATACAACAAAATAAAACTAGTACCGGTACTGAAAAAAGATTTATTCATAACACGCGTGAAAAGACCCAGGAAAACCAAGTTAACGATAAAAACGGTAACAAAATAACGCTGAAAACCGATAAAAACCCTGAAAACTATACATTTCACACCTGAGCCTCAACTCTCGCGGCCCGGTACCAAACGATTCACGGACCGGTACCGGTCCGAGGCCCGGGGGTTGGGGACCGCTGTTTTAGAGTATTGGATGAAACTGCTTTGTGCTTATTCTTTGACAGCTTTTACATCTATCTTTGTGTTCCTGCCATCATCAGTATAAACAAGGTGACTTCCATCCACAAACTCATGATTGTAGTTAGTTTCAGCACTTCACTGTAACGTGCTTCCTTCTACTTTCTTTTTCTCATGATTGGTCCTGAATATAAAGTAATGAGGGCTGGGTCAAGACATCTGCACAGTACTGTATCTGTTTTATTTGAAAGTTGAAATTATTATCCATCCATCTTCATCCGCTTTATCCGAGGCCGGGTCGCGGGGGCAGCAGCCTAAGCAAAGAGGCCCAGACCTCCCTCTCCCCAGCCACCTCCTCCAGCTTATCCGGGGGAATACCAAGGCGTTCCCAGGCCAGCCGAGAGATATAATCTCTCCAGCGTGTCCTGGGTCTGCCCCGGGGCCTCCTCCCAGTGGGACATGCCTGGAACACCTCACCCAGGAGGCGCCCAGGGGGCATCCTTGTCAGATGCCCGAACCACCTCAGCTGGCTCCTTTCGATGTGGAGCAGCAGCTGCTCTACTCTGAGCCCCTCCCGGATGGCCGAACTTCTCACCCTATCTCTAAGGGAGAGGCCAGCCACCCTTCGGAGGAAGCTCATTTCTGCTGCTTGTATCCGCGATCTCGTTCTTTCGGTCACTACCCACAGCTCGTGGCCATAGGTGAGGGTAGGGACGTAGATCGACCGGTAAATTGAAATTATTAAACTGATTAAATGATTCAAAGTGCTTGAAGTGCTTTTACCTCCGGTTTCTTTAAACCAGCTTTCTGAGTGGCTGTCAATCGCAAACAGAACGTGAAGCTTTAAATATTTTCTACATTTGGCAAAATAATTATTAAATAAAATTGAAATGTATTAAGTGAGAGAATTAAACAGTTTGTTAGGGCTATCATTTAGTGTCTGACAGGACTTTAACTGTTAACGGTAAGAAGATTTGGTCACATGTAAATGCCTTCGTGAATCAGTCACAATTCAGTGATTAAATCATTTCTCTATGACAAATCTACCTTTACATCATTTGTTTGTCAGCTATATCACATAAAAAGTACAAAGTCAAATTACTGAGAAAGTGGAACATAAGAAATGTTTTACTTCTTTTAGAAATGTGAAACTATAGGATCTGGCAGAGAATGAACCGTCCACGTTTCTCTCTAGTACTGTCGTATGCAAAACTAGTGTGGCACCAGGGGTGGTAAGAGATTATTTTAGGGTGGTCCATGCCATCCGTGCAGATCCGCCCCTGTCTGCATCACACATGTTGGTTAGCAAGAGGAAATTCCTCTTTTATGAAACGGAATCACGGAAGGCTAATGACCGATCTTAGAGAAGTAAAAGCAGACCAGCATGCGCCTGACTCTGGTCTCCCCTCGGTTTACCATTAAAGACCAGAGGTTTACCGAAAATGTGCATGCGCAAACCTCCAGAAACTAGTTACTGGCCACTCAGCTTGCTGTAAACAGGACACAGACGCCTTTAAACACAAGGTGGCAGTATTGTACAGCATGAACGCAAACAGGTGAGGAGCCTCATGACAGTGCGGTCTTTAAAGGAACTTTGCCTACTATAAGAAACCATTAAAATGCATATAAGCTTCTCACCAAAATGCACATGTAATTGTATTTAATAAGGTCTGTACTGTAAACTATGTATGCTTCAATGAGGTCATTTCACTCAAAGTTCTTAGTGAAGAAACATCACTTTGTCACCCTTATGTGTGACGCCAACTAGTAATCTCCTTCAAGCCAAGACCTTAATAAAATAAATGCGTGCATTAGAATTCACATACAGTCTATTCCACAGTGATTTCTAGGTACCTGATATGTTAATAGCAAAACTCAAGTGTTTGAGTCTCATTATCGTCATCAGAACAAAAAAAGAGATGCAGGTCTGTGACCAGGATGCAGGTCTAGTTGGTGTTTCAAAATGCAAACAGACAGAGCGTCTCGCTGCAGTAGACAGTGGCTTTGGTTGTGCTCTTGTTGCATTTGGGTTTAATATTGTAGTAGATACTTTAAGGCATTCATTTTCCAAATGTAATAAATAAATGTATATATACACAGTCTATATGTTGTTGGTTATTCTGGCAGTGCAGTCTGTAAATAATATTTTTAAAGCAGGTATCTACTGCTGTTGATATGTTTTTCTTTCTTCTTCTTCTTCTTTTTTTTTTTTTAGCAAGGAACCAGCAACAGCAGAACACAATCGGGATTGAGCAAAAGACAATGTTGCACCATTTGGCGCTGCAGTCTTGGAGCTGTGCACACGCTCAGTGCCATGAATGCAGACATGATTCAGTAACTGAGGATGCACATGGGAGTAAAGGACTCTTCTTGACATACATCAGTTTTGGAAGCTATCAGGAACAAGAACAAAAGAAAATAGTGTCACTGAATCGGCTTAAAGAAACAAGCATGCTAAAAATTCAATTTAAAAAACCCTGAAGACTTTATGCATGTGTCAAAATAGTAAGCAAATGAAAGTGTATTATGTGAAAGTTTTAAATAGATTGTAACAGACTGACCTGTTTGTGTGTCTGACCGGACACATTTGAAGATACAGAAAAGGACTGTCGCAAGAACATGAGCACAGAGATTGTGGCCGTGTGGTCATGATATTGTTTCAACTTCCTGTTACAGTGTTTCACGTTACTACTTGTTCTCTTTTTGCCTTACCTTCCCATTACAGTTATATCATTTGATCATTAGTAAGTACAGCCACTTACTCTTTTAAATAATTCTTTATTTGAAAAATTGCAAATATATTTTCCTTGCTTCAGTTTTTTAAGAAACTGTAAGCTGTTTTCTTCTAGTATTAGTTTAAGGTTTTAAACGTAGTTTAGGTTTCAGGTTCCTAAAGAACTGTTTGCGTCACAGATCAGTGCAAAAACGTGGCCAACCACCAACAATGTCTCTGTCAAGGAAAAACAGTAGGTCATGGTTCTTCTTTTCTCATAAATTTACTATCAGCAGAAGACGTTGCAGACACAACAGCTTCTGTAAATACAAACACACTTTTGACAGGCTTTTGTTTTAAGATAACAACACTTCCTCTCAATTGCCCTAACCCACTCGGACCTCTACCTCAAGAATTTAATGCCACGTGTTTCTCAGCAGCGCAAAGTTTGCTTTTATAAAATGCATCTCCTGCTTTTATTGTGAAAATTGTCATTTCATATTATTCAGGAAGCAGGCTGGAAAAGACGGCATCAGCCAATAAAAGGACAGGAAATATTGATATAATGTTTCATTCGTTTTTATTTAAAGACAATAAATTAATATGTAGATACATTTTTAGTCTGTGCAAAAGACTTGAGCCACCCCTCATGTTTAAAAAACTTTTCCCGAGGAGCCAGACTTTTAATTGTAATTTTTAAGGTGGTCTTGAGAAATAGTTCTCCAGGTTTTCTGAAGGTCTTTCATTGGCTGCATTTTCACTCATTTTCAGTGCAGTCCCTGTATCTGTCAGATAGGTATCTGACAGAAAACCATGCTCGACGATGGTGATCATGATAATATGACAACAACAGTGACCTATAAATCATCCAACCAACATCCAAAGAAGAGCTTGGAAATCAAGAAGCCTGGAGAACTATTCCTGAAGACTACTTGAAGAAATACTAAGAAAGTTTGACTGAGAGATTGCAGACTGACGAATGCTGACGAATAAAGATGATCACACCAAATATTGACTTTATACAGATTCTGTTTTTACCTTATATGCTGTATTTCTATGTATGTTTGCATGTCTTAATAAACATATTAATGCAAACAAAAAGGGGTGGCTCAAGATTCCTGCACAGCACGATATGTTAATGATAAAGAACACGGGGAAAAACTGTTTCGTGACTTATTTGCAAACACAATGCTGCTCTTTCTGCACCAGGACAGTAAGTGGTTTGTGTCCAGCCACAGACACATCTTCCCGTTTCATAGAGTTGTGCTCAACTCTAAAACTTGCTTTATCCAAGGATATTTTTACATATTAAGAGAGTGTTGTGGAATGCACATGGTATATACCCTGACACACAGGAAAACTGTCTTTAAATGCACCATCTGCCATAATTGTTGTCTTGTTTTAATTATCTCTATTTAATTACAGCACAAGTCTTTGAGTGTCATTGTCACCATCGGGCTGTCGTTGTCTACAACAGCAGAAAGCTAAAAAGAGCAGTGCTAACAGGATGTAGGTCACAACGGTGAAACAAAACGCGAACAGGTAGAGCGTCGTGTTGCAGTAGACATCAGGCTGTGTCATATTCTTGTTGTAGTTGGGTTCATAAATAGAGTAGATGACTATATTACCTGGAAGAATATAAAAAATGATCTCAAATTAGAATGAGAGTGATGGACCTGCACGGCTTCTACATAAATGCAGAACTGGCTTCAAGATTTTTTCAAAATGCTGCTGTGATTAGTTTATTTTAAAAATGTAAAAAAAAAAAAATCCAAGGAACAATAAGGAAAATTTATTTCTGTTAAATTCAATTCAGTTTTATTAGCAAAAAATTACAACAGCACAACATTGTATATTCTCCTTATATATTCAAAAGGAGCTAGTACTGCGTGACGTATATGATCAGTTTAATTTACAAATAAATCGACTGATTTACTGATAAGACCTGTTCCCTTTGTTATTTCATGACAAATGAAGCAGACATAAAATTGTTATATTGTTTACGTTTTGTTATAGCTGTTCACTGTAATTTTAAATATGAGGGCAGATAAATCTTAGTGCAAGTGAGGGAGGTCATCGTTAGGTAGAATAATCAAAAATGCCAAAATGCCTAAAACTAAAGTGCACGATGACAGAAACTTCTAACCAAGTCAAGAAATTTTACATATGTGACCTTATTATTTAAAAGGTCATGTTTTTGTCTCCCTGTACTCACAAGGAAAATGTCCAGGTCTTGTAGTGAAATTCTCAATTTTTTCAAACTAATCTTCTTATTATTTACTTTTCCTGCTCTGTTTACTTTGGTGTTAGAAAAATTTGAAGTTTACCCGCAAGTAACCAGCCACACAGGAAGATGATGGTCATGGACCAAAGGAAAGTGTTGCACCAGTTGTGCCATAAGCTCAGTGCCAGGAAGACCGGTATGATCCCATACAGGGACATGTAGAATGGGATAAAAGTCTGTCTGGGACAGTTATAGAGTCCTGAACCTATGGGGCACAAAAATAAATAAAACTAAAACACAACGTCTGAAATATTATTTAATTTTTCCATTATTTTTGTGACACGATGCATGGTCAGTCATCCAGGTAAAAAAAATCCCAAAAGGTTGATTCTGTTTATCTGGACGTAGTGTTTTCAGTGGGAGAAACGTTTCCTCACTCATCCAAGTGACTTCTTCATTCTCAGCTGACTGCAGGTTTTCCCAGCCTACAGGGTGGGCCATTTATATGGATACACCATAATAACATGGGAATGGTTGGTGATATTAAAGTCCTGTTTGTGGCACATTAGTATATGTGAGGGGGCAAACTCCTCAAGATGGGTGGTGACCATGGTGACCATTTAGAAGTCGGCCATCTTGGATACAACTTTTGTTTTTCCAATAGGAAGAGGGCCATGTGACACATCAAACTTATTGGTAATGTCACAAGAAAAACAATGGTGTGCTTGGTTTCAACGTAACTTTATTCTTTCATGACTTATTTACAAGTTTCTCTTTGTTCACAGCCATTGACATGTCGAAGAGGTTAACACGTGAGGAGCGGATCAAAATTGTGTTGATATCTGGTGAACGCGGTAAGCGGGTCATTGCAGCAGATTTCAATGCAAGACACCCTACGAGACCACCCATCTCCCATGTTACAGTCAGCAAACTGCTTGCTAAGTTTCGTGAAACTGGTTCAATGTTGGATTTGCCAAAATGTGGACGCAAGAAAACTGTCACTAATGAAGAAACATCAGCGGCTGTCCTAGCTTCATTCAGCAAGAGCCCACAGCGTAGCACTTGCCGCATGTCACTGGAGAGTGGCATTAGTTGAACATCCCTTCGGCGGATATTAGCTACTCACAAATGGCACCCTTACAAACTCCAGCTACTGCAGCATCTCAACGAGGATGACCCAGATCGGCGTACAGAATTTGCAGAATGGGCAAAACAAAAGTTGGAACAGAACCCTCAGTTCACACAGAAGATTTTGTTCAGTGATGAGGCAAACTTTTATGTGAATGGTGAAGTTAACAAACAAAACCACCACTATCGGTCTGACACTAACCCACATTGGATGGATCCCTCCAAGACTGCTGGACCAACAAAAGTGATGGTTTGGTGTGGTATATGGGGTACAACGATAGTGGGTCCATTCTTCATCAATGGAAACCTCAAGGCCACTGGATATTTGAAATTGCTACATGATGTGTTTCCCTCTTTATGCACTGAAGCTGGCACGTTCCCTGAGTTTTTCCAGCAAGATGGTGCACCACCACATTATGGGTGCCAGGTCCGAGCATTCCTACATGAACAGTTTCCTGGAAAGTGGATTGGTCGTCGTGGGCCAGTTGAATGGCCCCCAAGGTCTCCCGATCTGACCCCCTTAGACTTTTATCTTTGGGGTCATCTGAAGGCAATTGTCTATGGTGTGAAGATACAAGATGTGCAGCACCTGAAACTACAGATACTGGATGCCTGTGCTGGCATTTCTCCTGCGGTGTTGCTATCAGTGTGTGAAGAGTGGGAGACGAGGGTTGCATTGACAATCCAACACAATGGGCAGCACATTGAACACATTTTATAAGTGGTCAGAAACTTGTAAATAACTCATGAAAGAATAAAGTTACGTTGAAACCAAGCACACCATTGTTTTTCTTGTGACATTACCAATAAGTTTGATGTGTCACATGGCCCTCTTCCTATTGGAAAAACAAAAGTTGTATCCAAGATGGCCGACTTCTAAATGGCCACCATGGTCACCACCCATCTTAAGGAATTTGCCCCCTCACATATACTAATGTGCCACAAACAGGACTTTAATATCACCAACCATTCCCATTTTATTATGGTGTATCCATATATCCGTACATTTGCATAATGACTGAAATTAGCACCACTGAATAAACAATGGGCTGGGAGCTCAGTTCCTTGCTCCATTGGGAACAACCTCTGGTGATGCGGATGGCACAACACAGAAGAGTTACCTCGTCAGGCCAGGACTCTGCAGTCTATTTACACCTACAGGCCAGTGGACACTCTTTCAATGATGAGGATGTACACATCCTGGACAGGGAGGAACGCTGGTTTGAGCGCAGAGTGAAGGAGGCCATTTACGTGAAAAGGGAAAGACCATCTCTGAATTGAGGAGGGGGCTTAAGGGTACATCTTTCGCCATCTTACAATGCTATGATTGCAGCCATCCCCCAACTCTCTGTGAATGGTACTCATGGCCATTGATCAGTGGGCTTTGGTCAATGATCATGATGTTAATGATCAAGGAACTGACCTCCCAGCCCAGTGTTCCTTCAGTGGGCTGGTTTCAGTCATTATGCAAATGTACTGTTTATAAGATTGGGGAAACCTGCAGTCAGCTGAGACTGAAGAAGTCACCTGGATGAGTCACAAAACGTTTCTCCAACTGAAAACGTTACGTCCAGATGAACAGAATCAACCTTTTGGGATTTTTGTGACACATAAAAATACATTCGCATGAATCTGATCTGAACATTGCAATAACAATATCTCTTACTTACCAAGTATTCCTTGAGCAACAAATGTGAAGGAGAAAATGATCAAGGTACATCCTGGAGGCAGATACAGCGCTTTGTCAGTCACAAATCGCAGTGTGCACCATCTACACATGTGCAAAGATTTTCAACTCTCTCACCTATTACTATGTTTCGAAGTCCACACACGGATTGTGGTCTCTGACTCCCTGGCATGATAACTATTAGTCGAACCTACAAAGACACAAAGATAGCCACGAGATAACCTCCAGCTGTTAATATTTGTCTATCTGTCAATGTTTTTCCATCTTTTTAAACCAGGCACTGAATTTTATCGTTTACAATTTAAGGAAATGCCCATGAACTTCCTTTCCTGTGTTAAAATAATTAGCAAATTAAAGTGTATTATGTGAGAGCATTAAATAGATTGTTACAGACCGACCTGTTTGTGTGTCTGACCGGACACATTTGAAGATACAGAAAAGGACTGTTGCAAGTACGTGGCCACATAAACAGCAATGTGCGCATGATATTGTTTCAACTTCCTCTTACACTGTCTCACTTTAACGCCTGTTCTCTTTTTGCCTGCCCATCCCATTACAGTTATATCATGTAATCATAAGTAAGTACAGCCATTTCCATGGTAATTAAACATGTGAATCACTTTTACATAAAGAAAATTAACAATAAAAAAAATATCTGTTT